ACCAATCACGGAAGACAGTTAGCCGTAACACAGAAAGAATTGCAAATTTTCACTGTCACTGGGATTTGAACTCTAGATCTGCCACTTGGGGGTTGACAACCTATTCACTTCACTAGGTTGCCACACCCAGTAGAATCAGATTTATTCAGTGGAAAAGTTGTAGTAATAGTAAAGTAGCAACATTTGCTGTTGAGTTTAGAAATGAGAACAGAAAATCGATACTTGATCAGACATAATCAGTGCATTTTGAAGAAGACAAGATGTGCAAAGTTACACCATGTACTTTTGTAAGAAAGATGTTAGAAAGTAGAGCATCACACAAGGCAATAATTAAAAATGTTCTAACAACAGCAATAGAGGTACTATTATTAAGACAACTAAAAGCAATAAAGGCAAAAGCAGTCTATATTTTAGTAAACAGAAACAAAAACCAACAAAAAACTGCATCAGTTTATTTTAAGACAGAAGAAGACTTAATAATGGCTACCAATAAGGAGCTATACTATTACAATACAATACAAAATAACCACTCAATGGCTACATGTTTGGACTACATTTTTATAAATAAGAATCATAATTACCTTATATCAGAAGTTAGCATGTATTTTGGTAATTCAAACCACCTTCTAGTAAAATGCATACTGGAATTCAAACAAGTGTCTAAACAGCCCTCACTCTAGAAGTTCAATAAAGAATCTTTTAAAAACGAATTACTGAAAAAAGAAAATTAGAGAAAATTCAAGATACAAACTTAGCAGAAAATTGAGATTTATGTAAAATCTATATACAATCAATCATCAGACCTTTTGAAAACCCAAAGCTCCTGAAAACAAAATGGCAAGGCTAAATAAAAACATTACAAAACTAAGTAAAGAACTTGTAACAGACTTCTCAAAAGAACACCTTAATGAAAACATAGAAGAACTTAACCTTCAAATACAAGAAGAACTAAATAAGATAGCTGAGTCATAGTTAATTCAGTCAGAGACAAAATGGATTGAAAATGGAGAAAAGTCAACAAAATACTTCTTCTTAAGATACAAAGCAAGAAAGTCACAAAGTGCTTAGTCTAGAATTGAAATACCTGAAACTTTAAGCTCAGAAAATAAAGATACATTTTACATATATTAAAAACCAATACATGAAAATCTACAAAGAAGAAAACATAGATCTTAAGGCAGCAGAAAAGATTACTGAAAGTCTTTTTTAAGTATTACAGAACCAAAATAACAACTTAGTCAAAAGAATTTCACAGAAAGAAATAACCCAAGCAATACAAGGCCTTCTTAATAACAAGTCACCTAGTACTGATAGGCTAACTTACAAATTCTACAAATTCACATTATTAGAAATAGTACCAGTTCTTGAAAAATTCTTAAAAAGGTATTTAATCAAGTACAAGATACTGGTTGTTTACCTGATTCATGATGCAGAAACATAATCATACTAATTTCCAAAAAGTTGGAAAACTTAAAAGACTTAAGCAATGAAAATTATAACAAACAGGCTTAACATAATTTGCAAGAAAATTATCTCCAATCACCAACAAGGATTTGTTTCTGAAAGATCAATAACAAACACAGTTTTGAATATAATTATCACATTAAGAAACCAATCAGACAGTTCTAAACAGCATTGGATACTTTTAGTAGATCAACAAAAGGCATTTAACAGAGTAAACCATAACTTTCTGAATCTGGTTCTAAGAAAAATGAACTTTGACAAAAAAATGACCAACTTGGTAGCTATTCTTTTTTCAAACCAAATGGCACATATTATGAAAGACAATATTCTATCTGAATCTTTTAGAGTAAAAAGAGAAGTATAACAAGAAGATCCATTCTCTTCCTTACTATATATACTTGCATTCAAACTACTACTTATACAACTAGAAAGAAACATTTGAGGAATTCTTTTAAAAAACTAGTTCTTTAAACTGTCAGCTTATGCAGATGACTTAATAATAGGAATAAGCTCATCATCAGACTGGATAAATATTATGCAATTTTTTGAAACCTACAAAGCTGTCTCTAATGCAAAAATCAACAAGAACAAACCAAATTAGTGCTCTTTATGAACACAGCTTGCAGAATCGAACTTAAAGATGAATCCCAAGTTACTAAAACTACAGAACAGAAAACATTAACAATTCTTGGATATGAAGTAAACACAAAAAGCATTTCTAAAAAAGACTTATGAACAACAACAATCACTAGAATAAAAAAGACATTAGAAAAATCATCTAACTAAAATCTTTCTTTCAGAGGAAAAATCCTTTTAGCCAAGGCATTTATACTTTCATGAATATGGTATGCAGCATACCTGACTTCACCAAGTAAAAAACAAATTGCAAAAATTAACAGACTTATAACACTCTGAATTAAAAACAATTTCAGAATGCTGTCTAAATACTCTATATTTTAACAATCACTTGAACAAAACAGCCTTCAAGCCCCAATAGTAGAAGATATGCTAGATGCTAGACTAATCTTAGTATGGAAAAAACTCCTTACTAGTGATTTTATATAGGCCAAATACAAAAGAGAAAAAATTGCAGAAATCTTACTTGAAAAAAAAACATATCAATAATTTAGATATTAAAGATAGACATTATTAGATCAAAAGCCTGGTCAAAAGAATGGAAACTATATCTTTTAGCCTGAAAAAAAGCCAAAGCCAAAGTTACTACAACAATGATCTGGTCTTAGAAGCTCAAAGATATTAAAATAGAAAAACTTAATGAAAAAGAACTTTTAGTTAAGAAAATCATTAAAATTCTAAGAAAAAGACTGACATCTGAACTACCTAATCCTAGCCAACAACCTAACTAAATGCTGGTTAAGAAAACAACTAACAAGAAAAAAGACATTTTATGGTGCCTTTTTTATAAAACTTTACTACTAGGATACTGTTTACAGCATATAAGCCCTTTAATCACAGGAAATTGCCTCTGGTGTAACAATGAACTACAAACTGCTGAGCACTTTGTACTCAAATGCAAAGTTAGCAAAAAAATCTGAAAACAGGCCTACAGCCTTCTAAAAACTAATCAAATTGAGACTTCTCTAATCTCTTTAGAAGAAATTTTTACAGCAACAAATATTACAAATAATAAAAGCAAACAAGTCACTCTTTGGTTGTATACAAACATAATCTATAAAATATAAATAAAGAGACAGCAACCTCTCAAGCAGAATTCTACCCCTAATAGTAATCAAACATCTTCACAAAGACATATATACTTTGTACTACAATCTAAAAAACTTTTCCAAAAAATGAAAAATATATATAAATGTATACAATGTTCTTAATAATTTGATTTTAATAAAAGAGCACCACATGTGCCCCTAGGTATTAACACCAGAGATAAAATAAAAAAATAATAATAATTAATCTAATAATATATTATTATTATAATATTTAATTGAAGGATTCTAATAAACTATCTTGTTTTTATGTATTTGATAGAATAACTGAAATACTAGAACTGAAATAATTAGAATTAATAGAACTAAAATAAGTAATCTAATAATACATTGTTTATTGTAATGTTTAAGGGTAGGGGTGATGTAGATCATTTGTTATATAATTTTCCTAGCAAATAAAATTTTATATATAAAAAAAAAATATATTACTAATAAAACTTTTTAGTATTATATTCAATTGTTACCAAAATTTAATAATATATAAATCTATATCTTCTAATTATTTTGATAAAATTTTATAATTTATTTTATTTAAAAAAAAAATACTTTATATATTACTAAGTTTGCCTGGGTCAGCTTATGAGTTTCTTAGATCACACAAAATTTATATAGGAAATTTGCGTAATATAACCAATATTTTATATGTAAATCATATAATATCATATGATTTGCTATAAAATTACTAGTAAAAATGATCTATGTCACTTCTACCCTTAATTGAAGGATTTCTAATAACCTACCTTTCTTAATATATTTGTTAGTTAAAATAATTAAAATAACTAAAATAACTAAAATACTAGAATACTAGAATCTTGAAATGACTAGAATGCTAAAATGAACCTCACAAGCTTCAATAGACAATATCATATATAGTTTGTCTATTTTATTATTAGCTGCTTCAAACTTTGTAGTAGATTACATTTAGGTTATACAGACTACTATATACTTTTTTTTTTTGTATATATATTGCTTGTAGCATTTAGTTCTCTTTAGGCTGTTTTATGTTGGCTGCAGTTCATGCTTTAATAACTGCCTTACTATGTCAAAAAGCCAAGCAAAAGCTTTAGAAATATCACAAAATAATGCTCATGAACAAAATATTGAGAATGTGCTTCACAATGAACTCTCAAACCACAGGTATGAAAATAAGAATGATAACAATGTCTTTGGTACAAGTTTTGCAAACTCAGATTCTGAAACAAACAACAATGACACATAACTGGCATGGACCTTACATGGAAAAATGGCTTGTCTACCAACTAACATACATAAGAATAATCTGCTCTCTTAGAAGAAAAGGTTTACAATACTTAGAAGTAAGCCATGTAATATACGAATCAAGTACAACCCACTAGGCATGAACAAATATATTTGAAAGCTGCTTCTTTCACAGTCTAAAGAAATTAACAGAGTCCTATCAAGGGTGTTATATAGAATATCAGCAGTATTATGACTAATTGAAAATATGCTCAGGTCTATTTATGTATCTAAACTACCAAAAGAAGACATAAACACCTTATATGCTTGGAAAACTATTGAAACATCACTTAAAAATGCTAAAATATTGTTATTGGACTCCTTATTCTATATTAATCAATCTAGGAAAGACAATGCAATCAAATACATATTACCCAATATAACTCATCTAATGAAAATAAGGAAGTTTTTGGAAAAGACCTCAAAACACTTAATCAGGCTCTTAGATTTAAGAACTGTGCTTCTTCTGAAAGAAGCAACACTAGTAATAATGCAAGGACAGCTCACTCTCATTTCAATAACAATACAAGCTATGGCAGACATGGCAATTACTAGTTTTACAACAAAAATTTTAATAAACAGGAATAACATTCAAAGAGGCAGTCAGTCATCACAACTGAGTTACTATATACAAGAAGAACAATAAAGAAACAAATTACAGTCTCTTAGGTAGCAGAAAGGCTGTCACTTTACAAAAATCAATAGACTCTTACCACTGGTTTACTCTGAGTAACTATGTTTTTAACACATGGATAGACCTCAAAATGGCATATGCTACATCTACTAAAAATACAACAGACTATCAAAGACACTATCCTATCTTTAGAAAAAAAAGTTATTATAAAACAGTAATTGAATATGTTATTGAAAAAGAGAGCAATTATAAAAATGCCTATAACAGCTCTGTGTTTTTTATCCAAAGTATTTGCAATATCCAAAAAATCAGGCCAAAGATGATTAATGATAGATTTAAGACATCTCAACAGCTTTGTAAGATTTATATATTTCAAGATGAAAATGATAGAACAAGTAAAAGACATTATAAAAAGAAATAATTATTTTACTTCTATAGATATTACAGATGCATTTTTACATGTGCTGCTTTCTTAGTGATCTTGATCATATTTTATATTTGAATTTGAACAACAAAGATACCAATACACATGCTTACTCTTTGGATTACTTGCAGTTCTAGGATATTTACCAAGATGCCAAAGCCCTTAATTGCATACATAAAATCAAAAGGAATCTGGATAATAGCTTATATTAATAACTTACTAATTTGCTTAATCTCAAAAAAAGAGACAAAATGATATATCAATGAAGTGTTATAGATACTAATTAAGTATGGATTTATTATAAATTACAACAAGTCAAATCCCATATCCTCAAAAGAAATACAATATCTAGACTTTACAATAAATTCAATATCAATGACAATGTCACTATTAAGAACAAAAGTAATAAACATTATTAAGGAATGCAAGTCTATCTTGACCAGGCTCACAATTTATATAAGAAAACTGGCAGTGATATTGAAAAAGCTCTTAGCAAGTATTGGCACTATACTTCTAGCAAGGTTAATAACAAGACAAAAAATACTGCATTAAAACAAAAAGGTTAAAATTGCACATTAACCTTATCATTAGAAAGTTGTCAGCAACTAACATAGTGGATACAAAATCTAGTCAAATAAAATAGCAGGAGTATAATTCTGATTTACTAACAACAGTACTGTATATAGACACCTCCACAACAGATTAAAGTGTATCGCACAACATATAAAAGGAAAAAGATAAATAAGAAAAAAGAAAACATGTAAAATTTGTAACTCACAAATATTAGATAATTACAATTATAAACCTGTATCAGGTTTCTTAAAAATTATAAACTATACTAAATAAAAATAATTACTATTTTTTTATTTTATTTAGATTATTTAACAAAAAACTATATAAGAAAAAAATATTTCAATTTGATTATAAAAGATCAATATAAAACACTAGTTAGTTTGAAGACAATATTAGTAAGTTTCTAGTAATTTAAGACATATATATAGTTATGTTTGTATTACTGTAATATTTCTGATCTATGTTATTAATAAACTTGTTTAAAAAATAAATACTGTTGACTGTTTTGATAATTTTATATATTAATTTTTATAAAAGAATAAACTTATAACCTACTTTTTATAAAATTTTTCTTAAAGAAAAGTAAGATGAAAAATGAATCAATTTTGTAACTTCTATAAATTCTTGATCTTTTTAGATGTTCTTTGTAAGTTTTACAATTGTATAAAAATAATATATTCAATTTTATTGTTTATTTAATAAAAAAACTTAACTTTTATTAACTACTTTTTTTATAGTTCTAAAATGCTTTTAAACTGTCACCACAAAACTGCAACTTCTTTTTCAGCTTTGTTTCAATGTTCAAATATGTATGTACAATATTCTAAAAAAGTTTCATAAGTTTAATATATTAACTATATCATTTTTCTGTAGTTCAGCTTTTTGAAAAGTTTGATTCAAATAATTATCAAAAAGAGTTTTTAGATTTTTAATTTTAATTTTGATTTTTTTAAATATTTTATTTTTATAATCTTTATTTTTTTTAATAAAAAAATATTATTAAATTAATAATACTTAATTGTAAAACAAAATTTTAATAAAACTTCTAGATACTATATAGTGAACTCAGTTCAAATTTTCAATAAATTGAGAATTTTAAATAAAAAATTTTCAGCAAAATTACTTTTAAACAAATCTATATATATAAACCTATGTCTTTGTTTAAATTAAGATTTGTTTTAATAAAAAAAGTCAAACCGTTTAAGAAAAAGATTTAAATATAATTTTAACCCAAATTAGAATATATAATTTTTTTTTTAAAAAAAAATAATTTATATACTGTACTTAACTAAGCTTTACAAGTAAAAATCTAAATTTTTTTTAGATCACAATGGTTTAAAAAAATTTTTTTGACAAATAATTTTGTAAAACTTAGTTTAGTATATAAATTAAATGGTAGATTTTAAAAGAATTTTCTTTTATATAAAAAGTTTGTGATTTAAAAAATATATTTTTGCGCAGTAAATCGAAATATATAAACGATCGCGAAAGAAATTGAAACTGACGATAATCGATTTCCAGCACCATATTCATCAGTGACTACTACGTCTATCTATACTTGCCGCCCAAATCCCAAACTACTATAATTTGGGTTGTCTACGCCAAAAACCTAAACTAATATAGTTTGGGTCTGTCTAAGCTCAAGTCCCAAACTCTGACCAAACTAATAACTCAAAAGACTTATCTAAACAAATGTAGAAATATATTTATAAAATATTGAGATTAATTTTTTCATTTAGTTTTTATAAATGACATTATACAATAACGTTTTGTCTTTTTTTTTTTTTATTTATGTAAAATAAAACAATATAGAATACGAGCGTGGCCAGCGAGAATTTCCAGATTATAGTTTATTATTGGAAGATTGATTTTTTTTTTAAAGATAATAACCGATTTCGTATCAAAATTATCAACTTAGCTAAGCTTATAAGTTTTAATCGACTACAAATATTAGTGAGCAATGATTTCTTGATCATCATCACCTGTAATTGTAGAAATGTTCATTCAGGAACAAGACCATTATTATTGTCATTGTTAACCTGTTGAGGTTGTTGTTGAATAGGTATTTGCATATTACCTCTAAATATATTATTCGATTGATTTACAGATGGGACCACACCACCTGCAGACAATATCTGTTGTTGTGATGGCATAGGTTGGTTATCAGCAGAAACAAAATATATGTTCTGCATTGGTGGAGCCATTACGTGTGTTTGTGGTGGAGGATGACCTTGTCCAATTGGAATCTGCATACCATTCATTCCATTTAATGAGTTAGGCATTACACCATAAGGAGGACCCATTGGCATTGGACCAACTCGTTGATGACCAAAACCCATTGCAGGACCAAATCCACCATGATGGTGATATCGCTTTCCTTGTCTCATTTCCATTTCAACACGCATTTCTAATAGACCAGCACGTTCCTTTAAATTTCGATTTCTCCTTTCTAAATATTTTATATAATCCACAGCCTTAAATAATATTGTACTCTTTGAATTATTCACATTCTTTAAGGTAGGTATAATGTCTGTTAATTCTTTAAAGCCAGCACGAATCGTGTTTCTTCGTTTTTGTTCTGAAGCAATGTGATTCGCTCTTTTTTCCTCCTCAGTAAGGAGTTCTTTATAAGGTTTTCTACTTGATTTTTGAGGAGTAGGTTTTGATTCAGATTTTATTTCCACATAATCATCAAGATTGTTATCATTATCATTTGAGTCAGTTTCAATAAGATTACTCATAGAAGCATTTTCTTCTTCACTCTTTGTTAATTCCCTATTAGGGGTTCGTGGTGATGGAGTGCAATTATTGCTACTACTAGGAGTATTTCCAAGACTTTCGTCATTATCATTATCATTTTCATTAGAGATATTATTCGTGTTACCACTATTAATTGAAAGATTAGACAATTGCATAGATGGGGAAATCGGCCTAGGACTTGAAGTAGAACTATGTGATTGAGTCATAATGAGTTTAGTATTTATGGGACTTAAACGAGGGTTGGACGGCTGGCGCCTAGTCCTGTCTTCACCATCTTGTTTACGTTTTGCAGGTACAGACGATTTATCTTTGTCATCAATTGGAGATATTAACTGTGAAGATTGCCTAATGTCATGAGGAGAATGTTTTGGAGAGGGAGAAAGAGTGATATTTGATGTGCGAGGGGATAAACTTGTTGAATTTGAAGAAGGAAATTGATGACGAGCCAAAATGTCAGAAGGATGACTTTGCGAAGGATTATACACGTTGTTCATGACAGATGGTGTACCCATAGGATGAATGGAATTATTTATACCATTATCAGGCGGTGGATATGGGGGCATATTTACTGGTAGTGTTGGATTAAAAATAAAATTTGGATTTTCTTGAATACTATCGAGGAAACCTTTAAATATAAATTCCTCATCGTATGAATTTAAAAGAGGATTTTGACCAAAATCATCAGTTGCAGGAGGAAAAAAAGTAGCCATTTCCGCTGGTACCCAATTGTAACCGGTGAATTCTGTATAAAAATTTTATAATTAATACAATTAATACAATTAACACGTGTTATTTAATGCATTAAAGAAGGATTTCAACCAAGACATAAAATTCATTAGCATGAATATATGTCCTTAAAATGAAAAAGGCATACAGACCATCATAAGGTGGAGGTTCAGAGACTGGAGGGGGGTCTTGCTGCATTCCAAATTGATCCGGAGGGTAACCAGTGTCAGTCATGGGTGTATAAGTATGTAATTGCGATAACTCCGGTTGTACGAAATTTGACGAAAGCTGTGACGGTTCTTTACTCATAGACATGTTATCAGGTTGATAATATTGTGGTATGGTATCCATAATTATTATTCATACAAATGTGAGACAAAGGCGACAGACCTTTAAGAGGGAGGAATTATTTTATCATAAACAATAGTACAAAAGATGTTATTAAAAACTGATATTGTGCTACAGCGAACTTTAAAACAGAACGGAAGAAACAAAAATGAATTAGAAGTAGCGATAGTGGTATTTGTCGAGAAATATACACACGATAAGATACTAAGGGGTATTTAGAATCTATTATTACTATGAGCTAAAGCTGGAACACTAAACGGAGAGTACCACAACAGTCCTCAACTTGCGGGGTGATTTTGGATTAATATGATTAATATGTGATAAGCAGTTAATGAACTTTTACAATAACTGATCATTTGAATCAATGAGATATAAGTAGAATGTGTAACAACAAGCAGCTGATATGTGATACTTTATCTGATTAAGTTTTTGAATTGATGACCGATACTTTTTATTTTTAATGCCCCATTGATTCTTATTATAAGAGCGCGAACATAAAAGTCCAAAAACCGTTAAGGCCGGAGTATCGATCGGAGTGATGATTAAATAATGATTGCAATGTATAATGTCGTTCTAAAAATAAAATCGGAAACAGGTTATTGGGGAAAACTGCTCTTTCATATGCTTGCAATATCAAATTTGGTAAATGAGACTGCACTACAGATCCCCGCATTTCTTTTCCTTGTTAGTATTGCCAAATTTTTCTAGTCTCTTTTACAATAAGCCACCTTGATCTTTCCATTTTCCGGTTGATTATTGACCCGTTGCGTTTCTATATAATCCATTCATGGCTGAATTTGTTATCATATGCTAAAATAACATATGCAAGGGCTTAAACTAGAACCAACCCTTGTAATTTGTATTTCATTACCCGCGAGATGAGATTTTTTTCACTTTGGAATTATGTAATTTTCTCCAACTTTGAAATCAAGTTTATTTTGTGGAATGATGACAAAGCTACAATTCAAATAAGGTGATTTTAATTAAATTACATCATACAAATATTAAATATTTTAATCGTATGCATGAAATATAATCTTATTTAATTGAATTCATACGTACATCTTGTTTAACAAACTCAAGCTTTCATGTGATAATGAAATCAAAACCAGTTATAATGTTAATTGTTCAAATTAAGTTTTTCCAGAATCATATACTTAAAAAAAATTATATACTACAGTATACGTATTTGTTTATCAAATCTAGATTCTGAGCATTTTGAAAATAGCAGCTGATTTAAAGCTTTCTTTGCTTACTTTTATATTACACATTTTGCATACTTACCTACAATGGGTTTAAATTTATTATAACTGGATCAGTTTCGGTAGTTTAGGTCATTCAGAGCACTAGGGTAGATGAATCTTTATCAACTTTTTAATAACACGTGATTTAAGTGATCACAGTTTTGCCATTTTCATCCCAAGCTCTTTGTTTCTTAACAATGTCCCACCATCCACTGGTATAATAATACCAGATACCCAACTACCAGCATGTGAAGCTAGGAACAAGGCTGATCCTGCAATATCAGATTCAACACCCAAACGACCTGCAATCGTTTAAATTATTAAACAAAAATGCCTATATTAAAAAGAAATTTGATTTTTACCTTGTGGAACTTCCGAAATACAAGCTTGAATGTCTTTATCAGAGGTCATATTGGTGAAAATCACTCCGGGTGCGATCACATTAACATTAACACCGCGTGGACTACCGAATATACGTGAATCAGCAATATTTCATTATCTATTATTTTAATTACATGACCAACGTACATACGTAAAATGAACTGCAAGATTTTTTGCAATACTGTGGACTGCAGCTTTAGAAGTATTATAAGGTACAGAGGTAACTCGTTTAGCTTCAACTATCCCTCTGAGATCACCTTCACCTATACCTAATTTAGGCAAGTTATTAATGGAATATGTAAAAATTAAAAAACGATCGATAGGATTTACCCGAAATGCTTCCAATGATGATCACTCTTGATGGATCGTCTGGTTTATGACTGGCCTTTTCTAGCAATGGAAAACATCTGATATCCCATAAGATTTAGTAATAATATTACTGTTCGTCCAGAAATTATGAAAACTCACGCGATCGTCAGATAAAATACACTTTTAACATTCAAATTGTAAATATTTTCCCACCATTCTTCAGGAAAATCGAATAATGTTCCATCAAAAACTGTCCCAGAATTATTTACTAGAATATCAAGTTTTCCTTTTTCGCGATCCCCAATTTCAGTCGCAAGTCTCTCACAAGCTTCCTTAGAGTTGAGATCCGCTTTAATTCCAAAACAGTCTCCCGGACCCAATGCATTTAACTCGGCAGCAGCTTTAGAAGGAAAAAAAGATCGTAACGCAAAATTACTTCATATTACATAAAAGCCAATAGACTAACCCATATCGAGAATTTCTTTTTTTCTAGAAGCAATATAAACTCGAGCCCCATTCCGTACGAACGCCTTGGCTATTACTTTACCGATTCCTCTTCCACCGCCTGTAATCAATGCAACTTTGCCTTTCAAAGAGAACAAGTTGGAAGCCAGCAGATCATCGGCCATTTTTTATTCCTTCGTTTAATGAAATATAAAGCAAGCAAAACCTTAATAATACATATATGTGTGAAAGAATGATAATCAGTTCTATTTATGGAGATTGGCTAATTTTCATAAATTACTATCGCTATGTATCGCTATACATAGCGATAGGTCAACGTATAACATAGTATAATGTAGAAAATGTGCTACCAGAATTAATAAAAAAAATTTACTAGCAAAAATTAAAACATATTTATATTTACGTTATCCACTTGTACGCATTATTTCGAAACACCCTGTGTTATTTCGAAATAAAGAGTCAATTCTTTGAATCAAATTACATAGATCCACTAATGTATATGTTATGTAAAATATTTATTATTTTGGATGACTTTAACTAAATACGTATGACGGTTTTAAATGGTGTAATTCTGTTACCACTGTCGTTGTTGTATTGGAGTTTGCATTTTCTCAAGAATGACAGATAACTATATAACACGTATCGACAACTTATAAGTTACCCAGAATTTATAAAATATATATAACCCATGTAATACGTGACCTTTTTTTATCCGCAATTATTAGGTCTCTAAAAATTTTATTTAAATACTATTCCCCCTTCATCAATACCAAATTGAAATACGTCAACATCACTAGGATTGTTATTAGGTGTAGTTAATCTCCCATAAAAAAGCGATCTTGACAAAAAGTTTACTTTCAAATTATGTGCCTCTTCTGGACACACATCATACTGAGGAACTGATTGTCTATCTACCACAAATCTATATTTAACAAACGACTGCCAAGCTGCATGTGCGACAACCGGATAGCATAAGTTGAGTGGAATTCGATCAATAGCCTCTGGTGGTGTTATTGCCCAATTTGTAGTTATAACGGTTACACCCGTTAACTCTATTATCTGCTTCAACGCTTTAATATAATAATGAATATTATTATTTTTCCATGTGTCATTTGCGATTATACCAACCTCATCGTAATCTTTATCTTCCCAATAAAACACGTTAATTTGATCAATCATCAAGAAGGAGAACTCGTAATTTTCGTTTTGTTGTAATTCCCTCATATATTTTGGCAAATCAAGTAAAGTTGCATAAAAACTCTCGGATAAATTTGGTTTAAAAACATGAATTCTTTTTAGCGCATTTTTTGCGATTGATCCAATCTCACTTTCAGATGGAATCAAATTTATGTCTTCTTTCAATGTTATCTCCACTTGCTTATGTAAATGATATATCATCATCGAATATAAACGTTGAATATCGAATTTTCCATCCAAATCAAAGAAAATAACTCCTTTTCCACGTCCGCTCAATTCGATTGTTGCATTAACGTCGATTATATCATGTGAGTCCAAATTTTCACCATAAATTCGATTCCAACTTGGTGGAAGGATAGTGGTAAGAGCTATATGATATAAAATAGTAGTTTTCCCACCACTGGCCGGTCCATAAAATTCAATAACATCACCTCGTTGAATGGAGTCTTGTATTTGTGAATTGGGTGCGGAAGATCTAATAGTTGTGGTAGAATGCAGGGTGGTATCTCGGTATTTACGTGCTTTTACAATAGCATCGTCAAGAAAAGAAATGTTAAGGCGTTCGACTTGGGTGGAAGTGTGAGACTTCTAGATAATTCACGATCGTGAAGTTAGTACAAACGAAAATACTTTTGGTATACTGAGGAAAAAAAAATAACATACATTTTCTGAAATCGACATTTCGATTTGTACATAGAACAGTATGTTATCTAAGGTTTTTTGTACACTTCCCGAGCCAGGATTGAAATCACATGATTCAGCATTCTTTGGCCGAAATTCGGGTCGGAATGCATTGGAACTAGAGGTCTGCATAATTATAACTCATACAGGGGGATCCCAAAAATTCCGGGTCGGAATACATCGGAATCATGATCGGCAGGGCCGGAATTAACCAATTTTGCTCAAGATCACTAAAAGTTTTACTAATGAAACCATAGCTCACTCATTAAGTAAAGCTGCCCAGCTGATAATTTTGGCCTAAAATGGTTAACTTGTATTACTAAATGCTAACTAAATACCGGGCTAAATCCGAGGTATTCCGACCCGGAATTTTGGGGATCCCCCTGTATGAGTTGCATAATTATAATCTGTGCTCGGTTTTAAGTCACGAGACGACGATCATCAGGATACTCAATCAACAAGTGCGAATTTATGCATTGTATTACACTAATCAAATTGAAATCTGATGTAGCAATTTGAAGTTTCTTTAATATAATGATACGTGTTTTTTGCATTATTTCTTATTCATATTGTTTTTATTCCCTTATTTATAATAAATTTTATAGCGAACATATTCATAAAAAACTATTTATCGAACCTATTTCTATTAACATAATAATAATTCTTATATAAAAAATTTTTCTTTATAGACAATTAAAAGATAAGTTTTTTTTTTTTTTTGTGAACTTAAAGTTGATATAACAATAATCTTAAGGAAATTTTAATGTGTTTAAAATTTGATGCTAAGACGATATGAGAATTTTGGTAAACTTATAATATAAAAAAGTTTTTAATGAACTTAATATATTTAAAAAATTTTGATTAATGCAGAACATGTGCATATAAATGTAAAATTTAATTCTTTTTTTTGTAGTTTAAGATGCTTTGATTCTTTTTTTTTCCATAATATTATATGCCATTGGGTTGGTTTTCTATTAAAGCTTGCTGCAAATTATAAGCATGCTTTTTTTGTTGTTTTTTTATAAAGGCATAATATAATGATTAGATTTCTTTTTAATCTTAGTTTCATCTGTATTATTATACACATTACTCTTTGGTCTTTCTTATCAATTTTTTTGAGTCCACAGTTTAAGTTTTTATTACACCTAACAGTTGCAGTAATCTGAATTTTAATTCTTTTATCTTTATACTAATAACTGTTACTATTAATTTGATCAATTTCTTGGTTACAATTTTAAAGAAATAAAGATATTGCTAGTTGAATATAAGTATCTTGTGTTATACAATGTTTTTTATAAATTTTTACAAACTTATATATATTTTTGTTTAACTCAGAATCATTCTTTTTAAGAAGATTTTTAAAATTACAACAAAATCAATAAAATTTATCTTTAGTTATTTGATAAAGATTATTATTATTTTTATTTGTATTACTATTATTACTGTTACTATTTTGATTATTATTTTTAATGTCTTTATTTTTATTATAGTTACTTGAAGATTTATTTTTATCATAGTTATTTGAAGATTATAAAGATTATAAAAATACTAAAAATACAGGTTCAAAAAATATATTATTCTTATTTGAATTATTAAAGTTAAATTTAACAATTAATATTTATTATATTATTAAATAATTCATTGTTAATATTTGTTATAGATATAGATTCTTGGTCAAATAATGATTGATGAAAATCTACATAGAAGCTAAATTCTTTATATTTTTATCTAATGCTAAATAAGCATACTAATAATGCTTATTCATTAATATAATAGGTATTTGGTTCATATTATATATATGATAATGAATTACTATTGATAACTGATACTTATATGGTACATCTATTAAATTATATTTACATATCTCTAATTTTATATTTACAAAATACTATTATCTTGAAGTTTTATTATTTTTATATTTAAATATCATAGTATTATAATTTATAAGTTTAATATCATCTTTTAATCTGATATTTCATTCTGAAACTTGAAAATAAAACTTGTTATAATTATCTAATCTATTATGAGCTACAATAAGCAATTTGTAGATATAGTATAAATCCAGTGTATTAGTAATAAAATAATAAATCTGTACTATATTATATGTCTGTATCCTTTTAAAAATAATATCTTTTATTATTCTTATTCTAATTTCAGCAAAGTTATTTATATTGTTATTATAGATTAGTAATTTTTGGTAAAAGGCAATAGCTTATTCTTTACAGTAATTCTATAATCCTTCAAAATATTTTTAAAAATTAAAATACTTTAAGTAAATTTGATTTGATGTTAATTTTTTATATTTCATTTTTAAACATAGTTTCAATTTTAGGAAACATTATCTTTTTTAAATATACAATTAGAATAATATGATTATTTTTATTAATATTATGTTTTCTTTCTATAATTATCTTCATATTAATTACAAAAAAATGAAAAACACATAATAATATAGTTATATTTTTCCAAGTATAATATAATGCTTTTTTTTCTGCATTTGAGTTATCAATTATAATAACTTGTGATCACATAATAGAACTACATCTGCCAAATGTACCCAATGACATTATATGTTTTAATGCTTCAAAAGTCTTTGTAAGAGTAGATATTGTTTCATCTAAAGTTAGTATTGCAACAAGAGGTAAGCCACCAATAGGTATACTTGTAGAGATAAGTGTTAATAGTGTATTGAGAGCATTAAAACTAGTTGTAGCATCTACATAAACTAATTTACTGATTTGTTGTAGTATATAGTAATATTTTATAATGTTTGTTATAATTATTAAAATAAAAGATTGTTTTAGAATCAGTATTAGTTGGTGTAATATATGGTTGCATCTAAGCATTTTCTTTACTACTATTATTAAACTCTTCAATTTACTCTTTCCTGTTCATCACTGTTTTGAACAGGATTTTTATCGTCGACAAAATAACAACTAACAAAGAAAGCAAAGAC